ACAGGCCCAAGATGAGGTTGGAAGGTACGTAGGAGCTGGTTATACTGGGATCTGTTCATATGGTAAGGAGTTTGCATGTCATTCTTAGTGCAGTTGGGAGCTGTTGAAGGTGTAGCTTCATGTGTGTTTATTTCTCACTCATGCTGCATATCCGCTTTGCCATCATATCCTAAGTGAAGAATCGGGCTAAGGGAGTAGCTGCTCTCTGGAGCATTGTGACTGTCATGGCAGGGGAAGAGGAAAAGGTAAAGTACACATTGGCTCTTAACGTTTCCACCCAGAAGTGTTCCAAATCACTCTTACTCCCACTTCATTATCCAAAGAAAGTCACATGCCTCCCCCTCCCCAACTTCACAATCTTACCATGTACCAGAAGCAGAGAATGGAGTTGGAATATTTGTTAAAGAACTGAAGGACATCACAGAAGGGCTGTACGCATGGGGATGAAATGATTTAAACTCACTGTAGCTGCCCTGTGGAGAATGTACTGAGGGTAGGGGGCAGGAGTGGATGCCCAGGTGCAAGAAGATGGTGTCCTGGAATAGGGTGCCAGTGATGGAAATAGAAGTGGAAAAGTAAGCAGAGGTAGAGCTGACAGGCTTGGTGACCGGATGTAGGGGCAAGAATGACTTCCAGTGACAGGCCGGGTGAATAGCGGGTCCTGACTGGGATGATGCGGGGATAAGCAGGTTTTAGGAAGAGTGGTTGAAATAATAGGCGCCACTTAGGAACTTGTTAACTTTGAGATGCCTGAGAGATTTACCAGTGGAGTTAGCAAGCAGGCAATTGGATTTACAGGATGAGCTCAGAGGTAAGGTCAACTTGGAGATATATTCTTTTTTAAAAGAATATATTTTTATTGATTTCAGAGAGGAAGGGAGAGGGAAAGAGAGATAGAAACATCAATGATGAGAGAGAATCATTGATCAGCTGTCTCCTGCACGCCCCACACTGGGGACTGAGCCCACAACCTGGGCATGTGCCCTGACCGGGAATCGAACCGTGATCTCCTGGTTCATGGGTCGGCACTCAATCACTGAGCCATGCTGGCTGGGCTGGAGATGTATTCTGAAGTCGAGCATAGGGGTGGTCTTTAAAGCTACAGGAATGGCTGATATCACCTAGGGAGTGGAGGGGGGTTGAGGTAAGGCTTGTGGAACTTTACAGATCAGGTAGAAGAGGAAGAATCTGGCAGTGGGGATGAGGCAGAGGGGCTAGAGAGGTGGAGGGAAATTTCCGGAGAAGAGAGTACAGTAAAACCGAAAAGTGGGAGTGATCAACGGTGTCCTGTGCTACTGTGAGGTCGAGTAGGATGATGTCTAAAAATCATCTACTGGGTTAAATTTGGCAACATAGAAGTCATTGGTGATCACTATGAAATCTGTTTCAGTAGAGTAGTAGGGATAAAAGATGGGAACTGGTTACGTAAAGAGCTATGAATAAGAACAGGAGAGTTCCATTTGGTAGTGAGCAAGCACTTTAGTTAATTCTTTTAGTTCTAAATTAGGCCATCTTGTACGTGCTGGTCTCTGTGCCCATCCTCGCCAGTTTCTCCCTGTCCCCGCCCCTCACCTTATCCATTTGGCAAAATCCTTTTCATACCTTTAGCTTTCAGGAAGCTGTCCCTGTTTGTCACCTTTGTAGTGACAGAATAGAGCTAACCGTTCCTTTGTAATAATTGTGTTTCTGTCTCCACTGAACAGAGAGCTCCCTAAGGGCAGGGAGAACTGCATCACATGCATCCGTTTTGATACCCTCAGCACAAAGTCTTGGCTTACTATCATTAAGTGAGTAAATAAGATAAGCTGAATAACAATCTCTGAGGATAGGAACCTTGCCACAGAAATGCATTCTCTATTACAATGACCCTCTGGTGCCCTGATGATGAAAGAGAACATTAAAAATTCTCTATTAGCATGACCTGTCCTGCTCTTTCTTTGAAAATATTTGCAGCTTCTCAGAACAGAGTTCAACTGAAGATTGAAGCAGCCCAAAGTAATAAATACGAAAAGTCACTTTGTTGTGGTTTTATTACATGTTTTTTGCAAGGTGGCCTAGTGGGTTCTGTATGCATTAGAGTCAGTGGTCTTGTTGCTGTACTTGTCTAGACAATTCCAACTCTCAGGCTTCCACAGTCTTTGTTGCATATGTGGAAAAACAACAGAGAGCATGATTAGGAAGAGGAGGGTGGAGGTGGGGGTGGGGGGCAGAGTGAGGTGGGATCAGAAGAATCTGGAATCAGGTCCAGTCTGCCTCCTGGAAGCTAAGTTAGGACAAGGCACTTAACCCTCACCAGCCTTCAGTTTCTTCCTCTGCACAAGGCGGATGCTGTTACATTTTTAAAAATAGTCTCATTAGACTGTGAACACCTTAAGGGAAGAAACTCTATGTCATTTATCTTCATGTCTCTAGCCTTAATACCATGTCTGCCAGAATACACATGAGTAAAAGTTTCTTGAAGAAATGAGGATTAGACAGTGATCACTAAAGTTCTTTTTAAATTGTAAAATACCTTCAAAGGTTCAATCCCATATAAACTTCTATTTTCCTCATATATATTACCTTAGAAAAAAAGAAATATGACATTAAATCCTATAATTAACAGCTTTATCTTCTGAAACGTAAGCAGTTTCAGAAGATAATACACTTAGAGCAGTCTGGTATAGTGGGAGAACTTGGAGCCACCAGATGAGGGTTTGGGTCCTAGCTTGGGCACTCGAGCAGCTTTGGGACTTTGAGGTAAGGACTCTGAGCCTGTTTCTCCCTCTGTAAAAAGGGAATAATAATCCTCGCACCTTGTTGGTTGTGAGGATTAGCAATTCTCGTTGTCAAATGTCAAACACACAGTAGGTACTCAATAGATAGGTGGTGCCTAATGTTATTTCAGCAAAAGAATTTTTTGGACCTGAAGCAATTTATTCATTGGAACATTTTGTGACAATCCTTGAGTTCAGGTAATCAGCTGGCTTCAGGATTGGAGACAAGTTGCATTTTTTTATAGACTGTCTATATTCTTATGTTTTTCCTTAAGAATCATTAACATTTCATAGTATCTGTAACTAAGTGAATGAACTTAGAATTATTTGTCTGATGTTCAGGAGTTTTGCATTTCAGCCAAAGATTATAGTTCTCGCTGCCCATGGTACGGTTGCTCTTTGAGCACAAAGAAGTTGCTTGATGTTATTGTCTAGAAATAAAGGAGGCGGGGAAAAGGTAATCAGCCAGATTGTACCTCTGGGTAAATTACTCAGTGGGATTGAGTGTGCTTAGAGACCCCACTGATATGAATTGGGAAGTTGGGTTATAGTACTAAACAGCTAATGAGGGCCCTGAAAGATTTATGCGCTATCAGGAACCATAGCCACGTCTGGGCAAATTTTAGAGTTTTTCTCAATAGAGAGTTACAAAATCTACTGGAAAGGTCCAGTATTAATATCTATCTGGAGACTGCTGCAAACAAACAGCTCTTTAGTTCTTGGTAAGAGCAGAGAATATTGGGCCAGATTTCTGGACCTTAAGAAATGTGGCGTCTGATTCCATTTGGCAGGAAGTTTAATTTGGTGTGGAGTTTTAGCCAGACTTCTTGGAGAAATATACTTTTTAAATGTATCATTTCCAAAACTTATTGCAAAAAGTGATGTCTATTTAGTCTGTCTGTTCTATTAATAGTCATTTAAATACTTTGTAAATATTCACAGTGCTGTTTTCAGCAGCATGTAGTAAATACTTGACCTTTTAGTTCCTGAATTTGTGGCCAAAAGCTTTTATGTAAAATTGGGGGAAATTCATTGTAGTCTGCTATTTATTTAAATTGCAGGCGGAGAAGCAAGCAGTAGTGTTATGTTCTAACCAACTACCAAGTTGGTTATTGTATAATTCACCTTTTAGAATATGGCCCCTTCTGTAGTGTACAGAACTCTTGGTTCAGGATTAAACACCTCATTAGAACTTAAATAAGTGGAAAAGAAGTTCAGACATGACGACACAGCAGTAGAAGAGAAAGGCTGATTTAAGAGACTTCAGCTTGGCAAAATGATATCCAGGGGTAGAGTCTGATAACAGTTCACCAATATTTAAGAAATGGGAAGACCAAAGAGGGGAGATTTCTTTTTCTTTGTTATTAGAAGTAAAGGGAAGAAATATAAAAAGGGAAATTTCAGACTGAAAATCGGGCGAACTCCCTGACAATAAAAATTGGTCACGAGTGGACTGAACTCTCCAACCAGAGATGTTCCTAAACCCAGCTGCATTTCATTGTGAAAGACGTACCCTAGCAATGGCTGAGAGAGCATCTCAATGGGAGGAAATAGTTCCTTGACAGCCACTCTTTTGAGGATTTCTCCTTTTGCCATTTATCAAAACCTTTTTTTCTTCTATGGGCCAGAAAGAAGACATGAACCTTCTTATGTTTACTTGTCTATACTCTGACTTGTTCCCCGACTTGAAATCTTTGGAAGAAACAGAAAGGAGAATCCAAAAGCTTTTACATTTTCACTGTGAAAGCAGCCTGATTTTCTTTCATTTTTGTCCTTTTTTTTTTTTTTTTTAGTCCTTTTTTTTTTTATCTTAAGGTAGACTGTTCAGGCCACAGAATGGTAGCTGCAGTGTAGGACCCAGCTCTCTTTGGAGTTGGAACCTGAAGACCAAAGTTTGATTTGTGGCTCAAGTACTTGTTAGCTGGTCACCTGAGCAAGTTGCTTATCCTTCCCTGAGCGCCAGTTCCCTAAAATAAGGAGACAATAACACTATCATGCTTATTGGGAAGGTTCAGTGAAATGATGTGTGGGGAAATGCAGTTTTTATTATTAACGTTTGTATTAGTTTTCTATTGCTGCTGTAACAGATGATCACAAACTTAGTGGCTTAACTCAAATGTATGTAGTTCAGAAGTCTGGGTCGCTTTGGCTTTTCTTTCACCAGGTGGGGGAAGTTTTCTGCCATTATTTCCTCAAATAGGTTTTCAATATCTTGCTGTCTCTCATCTTCTGGCACCCCAATGATTAGTTCATTTCTTATTTATCTTAAGGTAGACTGTTCAGGCCACAGAATGGTAGCTGCAGTGTAGGACCCAGCTCTCTTTGGAGTTGGAACCTGAAGACCAAAGTTTGATTTGTGGCTCAAGTACTTGTTAGCTGGTCACCTGAGCAAGTTGCTTATCCTTCCCTGAGCGCCAGTTCCCTAAAATAAGGAGACAATAACACTATCATGCTTATTGGGAAGGTTCAGTGAAATGATGTGTGGGGAAATGCAGTTTTTATTATTAACGTTTGTATTAGTTTTCTATTGCTGCTGTAACAGATGATCACAAACTTAGTGGCTTAACTCAAATGTATGTAGTTCAGAAGTCTGGGTCGCTTTGGCTGGCTTCTCAGCTCCAGATCTCATGAGGCCAAAGTCAAGGTGTTGGCTGCCCTGGACTCTGACTTGGAGGCCCTGGAAGAGAATCTGCTCCACGCTCTTCAGGATGTTGGCAGAACGCGGTTCCGTGCTGCCGTGGGGCTGAAGTCCCTGCTTCCTTGTTGGCAGCCTGGGGTGTTCTCTGCCCCTGGAGGCTGCCTGCATTTCCTTCATCTTCAAAGCTAGTTGAGTCCTCACATTTCAAATCTCTCTGATGCCCCCTTCTGCCTCATCTCTCCTACCTCCAGCCAGGTAAAGTTCTGTTTGTAAGAGCTGGTATGACTAGGTTAGGCCCACCCGGACAATCTAGGGCAGTGGTTCTCAACCTTCCTAATGCCTCAGCCCTTTAATACAGTTCCTCATGTTGTGGTGACCCCCAACCATAAAATTATTTTCGTTGCTACTTCATAACTGTAATTTTGCTACTGTTATGAATCGTAATGTAAATATCGATTCATAACAGGATGTATTTTCATTGTTACAAATTGAACATAATTAAAGCATAGTGATTAATCACAAAAACAATATGTAATTATATATGTGTTTTCCGATGGTCTTAGGCGACCCCTGTGAAAGGGTTGTTTGACCCCCAAAGGGGTCGCGACCCACAGGTTGAGAACCGCTGATCTAGGGTAATCTCCCATTTGAAGTTCCTTTGCCGTGTAGTGTAACATATTCACAGGCTCTACAGATTAGGGTATGGACATCTTTGGAGGTTCCTTCAGCCTCTGACACCGACGGTGTTTTGGGGCTAGAAAGGGACCTTACAGAACATGAGATAAGGTTTTTGCCCTGGAGGGTTTACAGTCCAGTGGGGGAAAGAGACGAAAACAACAGACGGCAGAAAAGTCCAACAGCCGTCTGTGTGGGATGCTGCAGGAGCCCAGAAGACTTTTCTGTCCCTGACTTGGCCTGTGGTTTTTCCATCATACCCTGCTTGTTATGTAATGTCGTTTATCGAGATCCTTCAGATGGAATCCATATACACAAGACAACACCATGTGATTTGATTTCTAAATGTCCAGAAAATCAAGCTGCTGCCATAGCTCGGTATTTGGGACTCTGCTGCTCTACTTAATAAGGAAAAGTTTTGAGTCCTCAGAGTAAGAGGAATTGCTTTCTTCTCTGATGATGAAGTACAGCAACACCTTGTCTCCCTGATCTTATTTCTTATGTCCCCTTTTCCCTCATCAGACCCCAGGACAGTCTTTTTTCCTTTACTCCAAGCTCTCTGGCCAGATGTATGTCATTACTCCTTCCCTCTTGAGTGTTCTTGTTTCTTGTTTTGAATTAGAAGGCACCAATCCTGGGCAATGCAGAGGTTTCTGTATCATCCTTGCCACGTGTCATTTCTATTTTAATACCCGTTTCCTGCATGTTTAGTCAGGTCTTGGTGATGGTTTATAATAACAGCAGGTACCTTTTATTGATCACTTACCATGTGCCAGGTGCTGTGCAGAGTCCTCTGCTCCCATGTTCTCAGTAATGTAGACATTCAGTAAGGTATAGGTACTACTTTTATCTTCCTTTGGACCCAGCTGGGATTTGAACACAAGTTAAGTCCGAAGCTGGTACTTGACACTATGCACTTAAACAGGAGCTGAAACAGAGGGGGCAGCACAAAGGAGCCAAAGCAGCACAAGTAGATTCAGGAAACCTGCCATTCAAAATCAATTCTGTCTTTACAGCCCTTCTGCAAGTTAGAGGGTTTGCTTTGAGAGCACCATGGTCGCCCCCATTTCCCACCAGAGACACTCCAAGTGATTCCTCCATATTATACTTCAGACAGGTGATTTTAGCTTGTGTCTACAGCACTGGGCAGCCACAGAGCAGGTGTGGGCATGCACTGGCTTGGCATTCCACAGAAGAGCCTATTTCTTGGGGTCCGGGAGGGGGGCTGGGTATGTGGTGTGCCCTCTGGCTGGCTTCCGCAGTTACAGGAAACAGAATACCTTCCCCACAGTGTTGAGATGATTAAGATATTTAAGGATTTAACACTGTGCCTGGCACTTAGTAGGAACTTGGTATGTGCTATTTCTCATTGTTCTTCTAGAAGGTTTTCTTTAATTCATGAGTATTCAAACCAGTAGCCCCTTGTTCTAGCTCCACTTGACTCTAAGCTCAATGTTGAGAAGACACGAGATGCAGCTCTATGTTGGCCCCTGTCCAGTCTGTGAATCATACCAATGCTCATAAATTTGAGCTCAGATTTAGAATATGAGACCAAAGAAGGCAAAATATTTCCCCTTCCCATTCTTGTTAAATTCTTGAGTTTTTGAGATAATGGAAACAAACAGTCCTGGGTTCGAACCCAGCCTCTGCACTTGCCTGCTCAAATTACCTACCTTTTTCCATCGAAGAAAGAACTTGAGCTTTGGGGAAGGATAAACTGGCCATTTTACTCAGTTACTCATCCACATCCTTTCTAAGGCTGTCTCCTTAGCAGTGAATGGGAGCAACAGCAAATTCTTCTCTTGCAGGGTTGTGACAAGTACAGAGTAATGCATGTGGTACAGTCAGGATGTGGTAGCCAGTGAAAGGCCTGGAGCTTTCACATGAGCCATCCATCCATCCATTCATTCATTCATTCATTCTCTCACGGCCTTGGCAATTTAGGTTGAACAAGTGATCCCAAGTTTGAGTTGCTTCTCCTTCTGCAGCAGGTGGGCAGCTGGGTAAGGTGGTTGTGTGTGCCCTGCCCACAAGGCCAGAGCAGGTATGGGGGGAGAGCCTTGTAGGGCAGTGGAGGTGCCAAGTACCACCGAAACCCAGCCCCACCCCGTTCAACTGCCAAAGCCCCTGGCGCCAACAGTGTTGCTTCAGCTGCTAGTAGTTAATGCTCCTTGACTTGGAAACGTTTTCAGCTCCTGGGAGCAACATGGGGAGGACTCACTCCTCACCCCCATCGTCTCCCCGCGACGGGGATCCACAGGCACCCCACTCCCTGCCCAACTTACCGTCCTTCAAGGCTGACCAGGCTGTGGGCCCAGGGCCGAGGAGGGGGTAAGGAGTGTGGGGAGGGCCGGGAACTTTTCCGGGAAGCGACTCAGCAGGTCTTGGCTGGCGGCCCTGTTAGCCACGGCCCAGGACCCCGGGGTGGGAGAGGGAACGGAAAGGTACTGCGCCTGGAGCGGTTGCAAACCCGTCATGAGGAAGAAACTGAGCGCAGAGGCTCCTGGTGGAGGGGCCCTCTCCCGCCCCGCACTCAGGTGCCGGGGCCGAAACGGGGTCCAGTTCCACTGCGGAGGGATGGGGACTGGAAAGCAGTGTGGGCCACACACCCCGCCTTTCCAGCCTCCTGGGCGGGGGGCGGACGCGGGTGGAGGGGAGTGGTTCGGCGGTCCCGCCAGGGC